GTACAGCTGAGTGAGATATAGGGTCATCTCACGTCATGTCACCTTTGGTACAGCTGAGTGAGATATAGGGTCATCTCACGTCATGTCACCTTTGGTACAGCTGAGTGAGATATAGGGTCATCTCACGTCATGTCACCTTTGATACAGCTGAATGAGATATAGGGTCATCTCACGTCATGTCACCTTTGACACAGTCGTAGATAGTTTAAATCGTCACAGCTGTCCTGAGTTGTACTTATAATTATCTTAGCTTGTAAGTTAAGCAAGACACACAGGTAATGTTCTCTTCACTCGTTGTTCCTTGGTTTAATGTAAACACACATGCTGATTTAATAGTTATATTGGGTAGTAATGTCTGTACAATTATTTGGTATTGACAGACTAATGAGCATTAGCTATTGGCTTGTAATTAGCTGATATAATTAGAGAGAGGTACAGCCCGGAGAGCTGGTCTCACTTTAGGGCATCGTGTCGGGCTGTGAACTGGGCTGAACTCTCTTGAGTCTGGTGACTGGACAGTAATCACACTTCAACAGGTCATTAACTAAACAGCCTACCACACACTGAGGGTTGAGTCTGTAGTTTAATGGGCTGTACACCCCAGGAGGTGTGACAGAAGAAATGTTTATGGGCTGTACACCCCAGGAGGTGTGACAGAAGAAATGTTTATGGGCTGTACACCCTAGGAGGTGTGACAGAACAAATGTTTATGGGCTGTACACCCTAGGAGGTGTGACAGAACAAATGTTTATGGGCTGTACACCCTAGGAGGTGTGACAGAACAAATGTTTATGGGCTGTACACCCTAGGAGGTGTGACAGAACAAATGTGTATGGGCTGTACACCCTAGGAGGTGTGACAGAACAAATGTTTATGGGCTGTACACCCTAGGAGGTGTGACAGAACAAATGTTTATGGGCTGTACACCCTAGGAGGTGTGACAGAACACATGTTTATGGGCTGTACACCCTAAGAGGTGTGACAGAAGAAATGTTTATGGGCTGTACACCCTAGGAGGTGTGACAGAACACATGTTTATGGGCTGTACACCCTAGGAGGTGTGACAGAACAAATGTTTATGGGCTGTACACCCTAGGAGGTGTGACAGAACACATGTTTATCGGCTGTACACCTTAGCTTTCGTCTTTATTCAGGACATCTTCAGAGGCAACTGGATTACATGGACAGAGAGAGGCTTAAATATACAGGGTGACCTAAAAACATGAGGTCAGGTCAAAATGATGACATCCACTAATCCCCACACCAACACACACGTAGAGGAGCTTAAGAGAAGGGTGGTGACGTGACTAGCCAAGTCAGGTCAGAAAAAAGGGATCCACAAAATAACTATCATACATCTAGATCAAAGGTTTTCAAAGCATTTTTAACCTTGGGCCACTGACAAATAAATTTATGTAACATATTATCAGTTTTGAACTGACCATCACTAAGGTTTATTGATTTTAATTCCTTAATCAAACTAGCTTCAACAAGAAGTCTTTCTGTGACACAAGATGATTTGAATACTTCTAAGCCTTTTTCCCAAGCAATGGGGTGATTATTATTCTAACACATGAACAAACAAGGCACTCAGATGCAGTTCTGATATTATACTTATGTTGTTTGATCGAATCAAACAACATATGTATAATATCAGAACTATATATATATATATATATATATATATATATATATATATATATATAGATAGATATATATATATATTATGTAAACTTATCACATAAGTTTACAATTGGTTCAACCTGCATATAGACAATGGAGGTATACAGTTCAGCATGTATATAGCCAATACAGGTATACAGTTCACCATGTATATAGACAATACTGTATATTGTATTAGCCTCTCACATTAATATTATATAAATATGAGCTAAGGACATATATTCATTATATACATTCTATCACCCAGACTATTGAGCATACAGCTACATAAACATTTGATCTGTCACA